CCCATCTGTGAAAATCCCTTCCTATTTCTTGCCTCCCTGACAACTACAATCTTGAAAAATTTAAATGCAACGTCAATCACAATCTTCATGAACCCAGTTCATCTTTGCTCTTTCCTCAAATGTCTCTAGATTGGCATGGAGGTCATAGCATTTTAGTGTTGAACTATCTAGATGAAACCATCATTTTTACTCTGAACGTTTCTTTTCTAGCATTTCCCACCTGTGGAGGTCCCTTCCGATTTCTTGCTTCCCTGAAAACTACAATCTTCAAAAATTAAATGCAACGTCGATCGCCATCTCCTGTTATATATATATATATATATATATATATATATATATATATATATATATATATATATATATATATATATATATATATATATTTTTTTCCAATTTGAATTTTCGATAAATTTAATTCTTAAATGATTCAGTAAGCTCCTGGCGAGTTCTCCGGCAATAAAATATCCGTAGAAATTTCCTTATCATATCGTTAAATATTTGAGTTTAACAAAATATTGCAATAACAGTCATAAATATGAATGCTGAGCGTTATTTTAAGAAGTAAGGGGGTACAAATGAAAAGATTTGAAATTGACTACTTTTCCACTTCACTGAAACAGCAGTTATCTTACCTTTTATTTCATACATTTTCTCAGTGAAACAAGGAGGCGTATCTAATATATGTTTTGTTTTTTGAATCAAAGCGGAATAGTCCATTATTTATGGCAGGAGACGATAAACACTTCTAGCTTCCCTTCTTTTTTTTTTCTTTTTTCCGTCTTTCTTCCATTTTCTCACTGAAACTAATCGTGAGTTTTCCCCTCTTTTCCTGTGACCAAAACGGAATAGTCTACCATTTACGAGGTATTGGTAGGCCGCACCAGTCGCGTGAACTAGGTGGTACAAACACAAATATATATATATATATATATATATATATATATATATATATATATATATATATATATATATATATATATATACACACGAACACATATATGTGTATGTGTATATATATATATATATATATATATATATATATACAGAGAGAGATAATATTAGTGGTCAATGTATATATATATATATATATATATATATATATATATATATATATATATATATAGAGAGAGAGAGAGAGAGAGATAGATAGATAATATTAGTGGTCAATATATATATATATATATATATATATATATATATATATATATGTGTGTGTGTGTGTGTGTGTGTGTGTGAAAAGAAGTGTGTATATAAATATAAATAAATATGTATATGTATAATTATTTATATATTATATATGGTACTTATTAGAAAGCGCTCAATATCAGAGATAGAGCTAACATAATTGGTTGGATAGATGTGAGTTTGTGACCCTGGGTTTCATGCTTTAGCAATCGTCAGACAAACGCTAAAGCGTGAAACCCCAGGTCACGAACTCACATCTATACAACCAAATATATATATATATATATATATATATATATATATATATATATATATATATATATATATATATGTATGTATGTATGTATGTATATATATATATAAATTCCCAAGAAGACAGAATCCAGGTAGAACTCAATGTCCTGGACAGAGAAAGAATATAATATAAAAGACTCAAACACTAATATTCCATGGTTATAATTTATTACACTGGAATCGTAATCACGAGCCAATTCGTCAGACCTACAAATTAAAAAAAAAAACATATATATAAAATTTATTTGAAAAGGATAACATAAATATGTTAAAAATAAAGGATTTTATAACATATTTATGTTATAACTTTCGAATAAATTATATTTGCTCTTCTCTGTATTGATCACTCTATTAAGAATAGTATTTTTTGGTTATTGGAATTTATTCCGTATGCACCAATCGTATACTTGTATATATATATATATATATATATATATATATATATATATATATATATATATGTGTGTGTGTGTGTGTGTGTGTGTGTGTGTGTGTGTGCGTGTGTGTGTGTGTGTGTGTGGCTGGTATAATGGATAACAGCTTGGGGTGAGAAGTCGGAGTTTGAATCTCTTTCGTTTACTTATGTGCAAATACCTCTTGTTAATGTATTAATCCGCCATTTCCAGCTATGGTAAATAGTAAGAAAGTTGTCTACTCTAAACCTGTTTAGCAACCAGTCTAGGAGAATGAATACTATGAATTCAACCAAGCGCAGAGAGGATTGACAAAGGGGGAATGAGCGACTTAGGGGAAGCAATAGCCAACGTGCAGTTGGGAGATAGAAAAAGAAACATTCAAATAGCCTTCGATTATAGATTTATCTGACAAGTGACGCCCAGTGCGCCAGTACAGGACAATGGTGCCATGATGGAGAAAGAGCATGCATTGCTGGCAGCTGACCACTTCAAGCAATTCATTTGGCCAAGTTGTTCAGTAAAAACAAGCAAATAACTGAACCCTCTTTCATCGATCTCTGCGGGGAGAGTCCATACTTATATAGAAACCATTCATTTATTTTTACATAGATAGATAGATAGGTAGATAGACAGATAGATAGATAATGAATATAATGAGATAGATAGATAGATAGATAGATAGATAGATAGATAGATAGATAGATAGATAGATAGATAGATAGATAATGAATATAATGAGAGAGAGATAGATAGATAGATAAATAGATAATGAATATAATGAGATAGATAGATAGATAGATAGATAGATAGATAATGAATATAATGAGAGAGATAGATAGATAAATAGATAATAGATATAATGAGATAGATAGATAATGAATAGATAGATAGATAGATAGATAGATATAATAAGGAGAATAGAATGATAATGAATATAATGAGATAGATAGATAGATAGATAGATAATGAATATAATGAGAGAGATAGATAGATAAATAGATAATGAATATAATGAGATAGATAGATAGATAGATAGATAGATAGATAGATAGATAGATAGATAATTAATATAACGAGATAGATAGATAGATTGATAGAAAGATAAGGAATATAATGAGATAAATAGATTGATAGATAGCTAGATAATGAATATGAGATAGATATTATATAGATAATGAATATAATGAGATAGAAAGATAGATAGATAGATAGATAATGAATATAATGAGATATATATATATATATATATATATATATATATATATATATATTGACACTCGTACAAACTCTTAACTCAACATTTACAGACCCCGACACCCCGCCTTTTCCCACGTTTCCCACTGATTCCATTGAGTCAAGTTGAGCTAGCTAACATATCAATGATTACAATGGCCAAGAAACCGCTTCCCATCACGAATAAATCAATGTTCCTTTTACATTGTTAAAACACTCAGTCCCTCCACGTGAACTCTGCCAAAGTTAACATACAACATTCTATTAAAGCAGCCTTGCACTAGGGTTTGGGAAGGACTACATGAGAGACTCTTTTTTATTTGTTTTATCTGCCTGTTTAGTGCGTGTCGAACTGTTATTTCTCGTCTTTTAAGTCTACTTTCTTATGTGTCACGAATTTTGGCTGATACATCTACAACGAGTTTGTTTTATCGTTGTTTGATGAGGCTTTTACCAATGCAAACAAACCAATGCCCTTCTACTTTCATTTTCACTTTCACTTTCACTATCAATTCATTTTACTTTCTATATTAACGTAGATAATTTTTATGTAGATTTTATGGCATAATCACTTAGCAATGATTGATTCATCAAACTAGAATTTAGTTATTTTTATCTGTTTTACTTATGAAAAATTAGTGTTGGTGTTTCAGCAAATAAAATAACTTTTGTTTATATCCGGACATTAAAATTTGCAACAATTTGACCACCGGTTGTTTGACCGTCTTTAAGTGTCTGTTTTAATTAGGGGCCTGGAAATTATAAATCTAAGCCTTTATTCGATATATGGGCGTATATTGATTGTAGTTCTCTGTCCGTATCTCCTTTCAGTTAAATTGATTATGAGAAGTCAACGGTTAGATTAATTCCCATTTTGATAAGGATTGTGCCTCATCGCCAGATTTAATGTGGAAAAATTATTTTTGCAGTTTGCTAATAGGTAAATGATGACAATATGAATGTTAATAATAACAACAATAAAAACAACAAAGACGAAGAAGAAGGAGAAGAAGAAAAAGAAGATCTTTATCTATGTAAAATGTGTGTGATTTTTTTTTTTCTTTTTTAGTCATTTCTAAACTTACGTCTTTGGTTGTGACTCAGAAGGAAATGTGTATACAACAGAAATCAAAGTAAATAATAATAATAATAATAATAATAATAATAATAATAATAATAAACCGCCAAAACAGAATGTGCTTTCTTATTGATATGGAAGTCCCAACAGACTGTATTATATCTTTGAAGATCTTCAAAAACTATCAAAATACAATCATCTTGAAGTGGAAATCACAAAAATGTGGCACCTGAAGACATCAATATTTTCTAGTTGCTGTTGAGGCGCTGGGTTTGATAATTAAGGAAATAATAATAATAATAATAATAATAATAATAATAATAATAATAATAATAATAATAATGAGAAGAAGAAGATGACGACGACGGATGAGGAAGAGAAGTAGAAAAGGAAATAAAAGAGGAAATACAATTAACAAAAAGGAAATAAGAGAAATGTTTACATTGTTTGAACTGTTGTCCTCATCTTTATTGCCACATTAACGATGTTTCGACCATTGTAAGCTTCGGCCTTCTTCAGGTGATATTTGTTGGAATTTTGAATCGAGCCCTTTATTATACATCCCAGTTTCAGTTAATTCCCCTTAGTAGCTCAACACTCTAAGTTTTTGTTCATGTGGCTAGGTATGGAACTCACGATTCTTTGGGTTAAGTAACTTTTTGGATCATTCAACCAACGCTTTTATCCACTCGGCCATGTGTCTTTGATGGCGGGGATGTAAAATAATACAATATTTATAATGAGTCTGATGTGAGTGAAAAAAGTCCCTTATTTCATCCTATAATCTAAGCGTGTACAGGGTGCAAAAGTAATTCCTCCCGCATGGACCACCCAGAAATACTTTCCACATAATTCTAAGACCTGAGATACCATTTTCAGTAATGTCTTACCATTATGCGGGGAGTATTTCTGGGAGGTATCTGCGGAAAGCACCCTGTACTATAAATTAAACTTGTCTCTTTAAGTTGGTTGTATCAAATAATCTCACCGCTCCTCGACACATTCGGGATAACTGGGAAGCAAATAAAATATTGCAGACATGAATAGGAACAAAAACATTGCAAGAAAACTATGGCGAACAAAAGAAAATACACTAGCCAACAGTTCCTGATAGAAATATCAAAGATTCCTTAATGGCTATGGCTGGCCAGACAGTGAACATTAGGAAATTTTCTTTGCCTTTTTGGTTTTTCTTCAAATAACCTGTGAGGCAAGGGATGTGTCACGAACTGCTTATAAGGACACATTTTTAGATGGGTAGATTTTTTTTCTTTTATTTTAAAACAAAGCGTCAACTTGTTTCCATCGTTAAATCATGAAGAATTTCAGTCTGTGCTGTTCTATGACCGAAGGATTTTTTTCTGGACAGACATTTGTTCGTGTCGTTACAAGGTTGAATTGTTTCATCTCGCAAAAGCTTTTATTTTAGCCATGATATTTTTTTTTCTAATTTCGTCTTCGATGTCATCTCGATTAAATTTACCCTTCTTGTTTGTGCTTTACTGTTCAATGCTCTCATCTTTCGCTTTCTTTACTGGCTTTAATAAAATGGGATTTTGATTAAATTTTATTGCGTTTTCAGGCACTGCCATTATGTCGAATGTTTCCCTTTTTCTCATCGCAAGCGTTAGCGTTCGTTTTTATACAAGTTTGCAAAGATTTATATCAGTTAATCTCTTGATAAATCCATTTATGAATTTATTTCATTTCCACCCATGACATTAAACAAGAAGTGAATTTCATTTTATAGAAATCGGCGACAACACGACTTTTTACATTTAGTCCCTCGATTTCATATCACATATCTTTATATACAAATTACTATGACGTTACGATTTGGTTAAAACTATCTATCTATCTATCTATCTATCTATCTATCTATCTATCACAGTATGTCTATATCTATCTATGTCAGTTTGTCCATATCTATCTATCTAACTATCTATCACAGTATATCCATCTCTATCTATCAATGTCAGTTTGTCCATATCTATCTATCTATCTATCTATCTATCTATCTATCTATCTATCTATCTATCTATCTCCGTATGTGAAAGTCTATCTATTTATCTATCTATCGCAGTCTAGTCGTATCTACTGAATCTGTCTGTCACAATGTGCCTAGTCTATATTCATCTATTTACAGAAGAAAATATGAACAGATAAACAGATAGATGATTTGTAATTCATATATGGCTCTCCCTATTTTCCTCTATAATACACACACATATTATATATATATATATATATATATATATATATATATATATATATATATATATATATATATATAAGAAAGAGGTTGTAGTGGTTCCAATGAGAGAAAAGTATGCATATTAAAAAGAGAAGAGAGGTGCTGGAAACGTTTTTGGTTGTAATGTGGATTTATTTAGAAAAAAATATTATGCTTTTGTTTTACATAATTTTTACACGTGTTTCTGGTCTCAATGACCGTCTTCAGGTAAAAGCGGAGATTTTTACATATTATTAAAAATAATTAATTTTTTCCTTATGCTTTTCAATGTTAAATATTCTCGATATGAGACATTTTCTGTTTTTGTGTTAGTAATCCGATTACTATTGCTAGGATCCACCCAGATCTATATATATATATATATATATATATATATATATATTCTCAATGGTGGAACTCTCCTTTGGCTTATTGCTTTCCAATTAAATTTAATCTCCCAAAATTTAAATTAACTGTAAATCGTTATCTTTAGTCGTTTAAATTTAAGTTCTTTTCTCTTCTTAATAATGCTTTACTTTCTGTTATATTCTTTCACACTCAGTGAACACCCTTCGTCTTAGTGGCTTCGTTGCCTTGCTTGGAGTGAAATCATTTAAAAAAAAGATATCACTAGGGAATGATTAATAGAAATAAATAGTTTAAGAGAGATCGATTGCTTCGTTCTTTTGCTAACAAAAACAAAAAAAAGTTAATCTGCAATATAATCGATCCTGAAATGGCATCTTGATTTCAGTTACTTTCTCGGAGACGTGATCCGGCTTGCCTCATTCTTTTCTACAATTTTTTTTTTTTTTCGCAACTGCTCTCACGAGATTTCATTCTCTAGTTCCCCGTCTACGTGAATTTAAGCGTGGTATTAGATTGGCAGCTAGGTCCCACCGTTTTACTGTCGTAATAGGTAAATGTAAACGACACTTCTACTCCAACAGTTTATTTGCTCGCACTTCCCGACAGTGGAACTCCCTTCCGTTTACTTGCTTTCCTGAAAACAACAATCTTCAAAAGCCTAAATGCATCGTCAATTGTCGTCTTGAACCCCGTTCTTTTTTTTATCCTTTCCACAATCCCCCGCTACACCTAGTCTCTCCTTCGTCTTTCTGTCTCTGTATCCTCTTACTACTCACTGTCATTCCCGCCTTGCTTGTGGGTGAAATGATTAAATATATATATTGTATAGAACGTTTCTCTACAGTAGTCTTAGGTTTTGACCCGTAACGCAATTAATCCTTGCGTTTTGCGTTCAACAGTTGAGATTTGCTTAAAATATTGATAACCTCCATGTATTATAGCGGGTTTGGGCACTTTGAGGTGTAATGGTTAGCAAGCTTGTCTCGCTAAAACAATTACGAATGATTACGTTCGATACTCACTGGGTGCCCCTTACTTTCGGCCTTGTGCCACATCCAAGCTACGCTTGGAAAATTACGGGCACCTCGACGTGGTGTAATGGTTAGCAAGCTTGTCTTGCCAGATCAATTACGACTGAGTAGTGAGTTCAATCCTCACTGGGTGCTCCATACTTTCGGCCTTGTGCCACATCTAAGCCGGGCTTAGAAAATCACTAGAGCACCTCGACGTGGTGTAATGGTTAGCAAGCTTGTCTCGGTAGATCAATTACGACTGAGTAGTGAGTTCGATCCTCACTGGGTGCCCCTTAATTTCTGCCTTGTGCCACATCCAAGCTACGCTTGGAAAATCACTATGTATTATAGCGGGTTTGTGGATTCTATTTTTGAGGCAGGCTAATGAAGGTAGGGGTGGATGTTGCCGCTTCTGTGGGTGCTA